AACTTGGACCTTCATTTTTCATGTTTTCTGCTCTCCTCATTCTTGCACCTATGAGGCTTTTTAATGCTTTTCCTTCAGTTGACAATATAATTTTGTTTAAGCTCATACATTTATTTACTTTGTGTAATAAATTATAAGTAACTTAATGGACTGATTCTACTTTCATTTAGTTTGACTTGACATTAGTGACTCAGTAAGTACAGAGCAGAGAAAGCTAAGTAAAGATGATGCCTAGACATTTGCTATTGCTTAAATTACACAGTGGATCTGGATTTTCACCCAGACAAAATAAACTTCCATTTTCTTTTGGTAGCTTGCTATATCCTCTTTCACTGATGCAAATGACTCTATGGGATGACAGCATGTTGGACCCACTCAGGCTGGGAATGACAAAAGACAGTTCTCTTGGGCAGTCTCCTGCTCAAAGCAAATCAACATTGGATTCAAATCAGGCTCTTCAGTTCCTCAATCTCTCTAGTTTACCATTTCCAATGATAAGTTATCCCAAGGGAGACAATATTTCCTTGTATCTAGTTGGAATCTTCCCTATTTCAATTTGTTGCCATTGTTGCTTGTTCTTCCCCTGTGCAGCTCAGCCTTGTTCTGTCTGCACAGTAACTTCCTTGTAGGTTAAAAGCCAGCTGTGCAGGCTGAACCAGCCCGGAGCCCTCAGCCTTGGTGAGCTGAGCTTGCTGCCATTTATGTCTTTCCTGTATTGGAGGCCTGCAAAGGGATGCACTTTCCACACTATTCCAGAGGTGAGGTAATGAGTATTGACTAAAGGATTCCTGTGGCTCTGCTCCTATTCATAAAGCCCAGTACATGGTAAGTTTTCACCTGACAAACAGGACAAGCCTCTAACTCACAAAGGCTAAATCTACATAAGGTATTTGTGTGCACAGCTCCATCATGTGAAATCATTCACATGCATATACCTGTTCTTAACCAGAAGGAATTGAAACTTTCAACATGATACCTTTTTTCCATTTGATAAGAGTAAATTAAAACCTTTTCAAACTTATAGTTCTAAGAAGCAGCACTAATGTACTGCAATTGGCTCTGTTTTATAGAGTTTTCTAATTTTTTGCTAATTAAAGTCATAGTTTTCCAGACCTGCTACAATATAAGTCATTAATGCAGGGGAGACATGGACTTTGTTTGGCAAGTCTCAGAGTGTAAAACTCTTTAACTGTATTTTACACCTACAGTTTTCAAGCCTTGGCAAACAGCTTAAAATTGAGAGATCTGAAAGCAGGTAAAATTTCTGGCATTAGACTAGAGTGCAGTGTTTAAAGCTTAGATCCACCAGCAAGCTGAAACATGGTTTAAGGAGGTTAACTTTGTTGTTTTTTCTTACAATGTCCTATAGAGCACATGCCAATGCATATAGAGTCTGATTCTGCTGTCAGCTATACTAAAGTAAATTCAGAAGTACTTCAATGCAGTTCACTGAATTGAGCTATATTCTTATTTATGTTCAGAAGAAAAATGCTCCTTTATTTCTAAAACAAGCTTGTCAAAAAGTGTTATGAACACACAGCCATTCAAAGCCTAGAGGTTTATCAAAAGGTAGGTCCTGCAGAGTGCTACAAGAGTTCCTTGGTCAGGGCCTAGACGTTAGATTTTCCAGTTGCCATCTGTGAGTTAGGGCAAAACAATTATCCCTGTTCAGAAATTCAGACAGCTTTGGCTGTAGAATGATGTACCACAGTTTGAGCCCTTCTCATATAGGATCTGACATGTGAGGAGCTGGCTGGGAGCATTCACAGAGGCAGACACCAGCAGCTACAGACCCGACATCAGCAGGTCAAACTTCTTATGTTATAGAGACTTTATTGTGCCTCTGATTCCTGAATTTTCTCCTCTGGAGATTAATTGTCTCAATTGTGCTGTATTTCTGTCTCTGTATCTCCCATAAGAAGGTCTGTAACTACAGTGCTTTGTAGCTTGTGTAGCTGTAGCTGTACTAACTGTAAAAGGGTGAAGTAGAAGGGATGCAGTTAAACTGAACACCCAGAGACAAAAATACCCCATGTTTTAGGAAGAAAGAAGGGCCTTTGATGCAGCTGACTGTAGCTGCTTTGCCTGTATGTATTTGGTCTGCTGCCTGCTCAGATCTGGTCCAGCAGCACTCAGTAAAGTTCTCTGCTGTCTCACACCCAACCACTCATGAGCCCCTGTGTGATTCATTAACACTCCTAGACAAGCTGGGGGCTCCTTGCTGTCTTGGCCTATCACTTTCTGTTTCTTCCTACCCATGAGGACGTTGTGCCACACTAGTCCTCCCCACCCTGAGATGTCCCACTATTCTTATCCCAATACTGAGCATCATATACACAGCACATAGAGAGATGAGGCCAGTCACAAAGAGGTGTCTCTTTTGAACCTGTTTTAGGCAATGCACTGTCATGATTATTGTTACAAAAGTTTCAGCCCGGGAGAAAAGGACAGCTTGGAAATCACAAACAGATGATAAAAGAGAAGATAGGGATGCCAGGATGAAGATTGATGCACAATCTTTGTCAGAGGTACTCTGCACTGAATCCACTTTGTCCCAAATACTGTTCACTGTCTTGCAACAATCCAGGTGGCAAACACTGGAATCTTTTGCCCAAGGGCACACAAGCCTATGCTGCCTGAATAGTGCATTCATCCTCAGACTGCAGGCTGAGCTGGGCTGGGCCAGGAAATGTGAAGACTCTCCAAATACACTAATGAACTTAGGCTTTTAGACAGCCGAGAGTGAAGGATTCACTCCGAGAGGAGAGCCCAGCCACTGAGAAGGGTGGAGAGTTTGGTGTACAAGCCTCTGTGCCTAAGATTTCTACCCGCAGCTGATCCTCAGTATCCATCTGCATCAGTAGACCAGCAGGAAGGAAGCAGATCCCAGGGCACTCTCTTGGATGAGTAGCCAAACCACTAGGCTAAGAAGTACACTCCTTTTAATGCTTCCTTTCTCTCTGTTTACACTGTTCACTGCACAACAGAAATGAGGCAACAAATGGGGCAGAGCTCACTTTTGGAGTGATTCACTACCCTATCCAGGCAACATTCTCACAGATCTTTCCATTTTGATAGTCAAAAAAATGCATCCAATATAATATACTACTTACAGCTATATCACATTGAGTTGCACATCATATTGATAGATTTGTCAGTAATAGCAAGAATTATTTATTTTGTTTTTAAATAGACTGTTACAGGAGGGGCTGTTTTTGATAGCTTCTCATTTAAGCCAAGGTGTTAAACTGGCCTGAAGGCTTTAACAAGAAGCAGCATTAGTGAACCTGCCTTCCTTTTAAGAACAGGCAGAAGCTGCACACGTGGTTGCCTGCATTAAAGGGCATATGGCTCTGAACTCTGGTCCAAGACAAGTCCAGCTCAGACAATTGCCATTAATTAACCTCCGCCTGCTGTTACACAGCTGAGCTCATCTAAAACTTTTGTGCAATCAAAACACCTTCAGAGGTGGTTCAGCTTCTTCATCTCCCTTCATCAGGTAAGGACCTGTTTGTAGGTGCAGTGTCCTGACCTACTCTTTGTGCCAGGTCTGACTTACTGTTGAGTCAGTTCAGCTAATAAAACCAATGAAAAAAATTTAATTATTTTGCTGGATGACTTTTATGTCCCTTCAGAAGCTGAAATAACTTTTCACTGGGGATCCAGTGAAAGACAGAGCTGACACAAGTGAGAAATTATGCATGTGGCTGGACATGGAGGAAGGAGTAGTGCAGAAAATGGAATAAGTTGGTGCTTTGGAATAACCTCAGCTTCAATAAAAGGCTGCATGCAATTGGGTGCTTAACTTGAGAGCTTTTAAATAAATAAAGTAGTGCATTGCAATCTTTCTAAATGAAAGGTGTATAATCAATCATCACCAAAAACATCAGGCTAGAAAAAGCAACAAAGATGTTACGGCAAGATCTAATGCAGCAAATTCAGTGATGTAGGGATTCACGTAAAAGAGAGACCTAAGGGAGTTTGTACACATCCCATGCCTCTGGACTTCTTTCATTTTACCTTGGTAGGAGATACTATAGAGAAAACCCCAATCTTTTCAAGATGAAATTAAATAACTGCTTAACAACTACACAGTTACTTGCAGTTTTGTTGGCTGGCTGGAAGTAACCCTATGAATTAGATAAAGGCACATTTACACTGTAAAAGCCTCTATTCAGTGCAAAAGAATGCAATAGTGAGCTTCTGTCTGAGGCCAAAAAGGTAATGTGTATAGCTTTTTGAATCTGGAGAGTCCTCTGTTACAAATAGGATCTGCAAAATGCATGAGACAAGTGTCCTAAATTCTTGAGGTATCCAAAAGGTCAGTCTACACAGCAGTGGTGTTACAGCATCAGTAAGAGCCTGTGCTGTACTGGAAAACCATCAGGTTGACTCAGCACCCATGCCATTCTATCTTAGATGTGCTATCTTCTGGAGAAGAGAAAACCTTTTAAGGTAAATCAACTGTGGCTTGTCTCAAATAACCTTTTTTTTTTTTTTTTTTTGCCTCCTTGTTATGTCTGGGAGAAACCTGAGCTGAGTGTGTAACTGAAGCTACAAAAGGTCTTGCAGAACAGCACAGAGGTGAAGGATTACACTTTAGGCATGGCTGCCATGTAAAACCCTGCTGAAGGTAGTTACACAACTATAACTGTTTAAAAAAATTGTTGCAAAAGGATAGGGCTGCAAATGTCAATGCAGTTCATCTTTAGGAATTTGTCACTGAGTGCACTGTTAGGGAATTTGCCAAGCAGCTTTTGGCATACTTCCTCATCCTCTCATTCCCAGAAGGGAATGCTGCCAGCCCGCCTGCATCTGCTGGAGCTGTAGGCAGCATTTTTGATCCAGATCCAGTCAGGACCCTCTCTCCAGTCAGCATCTTAAAAAGCCCCCAAAATACCTTGAAAAGAAAAAACTGCACAACATCTCAATCAGGTTCTAATTTTCTGTCTGGAAAGTATCTTTTTTTTTTTTTTTTTTCCTTTGTAAATGTGGTCTTTTTCTTCATTTAGACTCTTCTGGATGCTCCTACACAAAGAACCTCCCTAATCTGTGCTTTTGGTCATATTACACTTCTTGGATTTCACAAGTCATTAAGTACCATGTCCCACCCACCATCTCTCATTCAGTATTGAAAAGAGGGGATCAGCTCCTTCTGTCAGCCATTCCAGATGATTATTTATATTATAGTCTAGAATTTAAAGCAAACACCCTCTTTTCTCAAATTCTGCTGTGAGAATTGTCTTGTGCTAACCTGTAAAGCTGTGTTTGTACCTAGCTAGTGTGAAAACTTAACAAGAGTTAATGTGCCAGCACTAGGGGCTGCACATCAATAGGACTGACAGCCTGAGATTTGCTTACCCAAACATTGGCATTTTAGGCATTGTTCACTTTCTCTTACTGCTGCATAGGGATGTCAGAGTAGTAAAACATATCCTAAGTGACACTGGACCCCTTCACTTAGGAAACTGAATCCCTCTTATATTTTCTTGTTTCCTTATTTCATACATATCCTAATCATATAATTATCAAATGGATTTTTATACAGGGTTGGGTTGGAAGGGACCTCAAAGATCATGTACTTCCAACCTTCCCATCATGGGTAGGAGTACCTTTCACTAAATCAGGTTGTCCACACACTCAAGACATTTGGGAAGACAGGTTGTCATTGAAGACTGAAGCAAAAAAATTAGAGTATCTCAGTCCTTCTCCTCATCTTTTGTTACCAGCTTTCCAGCATTGTATATCAGGTGGGTAAACTTTCTTTGACTTTCCTTTTCTGGTTAACATACCTACAGAAGCCCTTCCTGTTATTTGTTGCATCCCTTGCAAGGTTCAGTTCGAGCTTCACCCTGGCCTTTTTCACCCCATCCCTTCATAACCAAGCTCCATCTTTTTCCTCTTCCAGGGTTACCTGTCCTAGTTTCCACTGCCTGTGCCCTTGCTTCTTGCACTTTAGTCTGACCATCAGATCCCTACTTGGCTATGCTGGTTTCTTGCCTTCCTTGTCTGAACTCTAAGTTACGCATTCCAGGAGCTTCCAGAATTGCCTAAAGCCCACTGTGCTTCTTTCCCAGCAGATGTCTAGGAGGTTGAAGTTCCTCAGCAGGATGGGAAACTGTGAGCACAATGCCTCCTGTAGCTGGAACAAGAAGGCTTGGTCAGTAGGCTCCCCTTGATCAGGCATGAGCATTTTTGCACAATATTTTAACTGTTTTATTGACAAGGAAAAAAAGTGGTGTAAGAGTATTTGAACAAGTGTTTACAGAAAATAACCTCTAAATGTAAATACATGGATTTGGAATTAAAACCTAAATTTGGAATTAAGAGTGAAAATAATTTAACCATACTTTAGCAAGAAGATATACAAGCTTTGCTTTCCCAAGCAAAGAAATTGAAAATGCACGCTAATAGCAGTGCACTGAAATTTACAGTTTTTCACCTACTTTGTAATCAAACACTCTTTGAAGCCTAATTGTACCATGTTTGATGTAGACATTGATTTTGTTGAAACTGTATGTACAGCCAGTGCAAACAGTCCAATAATCCTGAGCCTTTATTTGGCTCCATAACCATTTTAATGGCTTTTTCCACATTTATTGCTGGCAACAGCATACCTTCACAGAAGCTGAGTTGTGCTTTTTGTTTTGGTTTTGTTCTTGATTTACAGGCAAGCTCTTTAATTGAACTCTTAAGAACACACTGTGCATTCAGAACCTTTGCATACAGAAGATGCATTTAAGAAGTTGTTAATAGAGTCTGGATGGTGAAGCATGGGTGATCATTCTCTGGTATGTAGAACATTCAATTAAAATAACAAAAATAATCAGGATATTTGCAACTCTCTGTGATATGTTCAGATAATTTAAGCATCATGACATAGAGAATGTCTTGCAGTCTTAGAACAATCCCCTTTGATTTCCTTTCTCTTTAAGCAGGAGTTTGCCTCACTACTGCTTCATTTATGTCACAGATATATTTCATCTTTCCATACCAGAACATACTAATGTTGTTTTCCTGAAAGTGAGCCAAAGACAGACTCTGACACAGATTTCCAGTATACTGCAGGAAAATGAGAAGGGGACATGTGTGAAAACAGTACAATGTCCTTCTTGTATTTTCCGAGTTGCAGCACAAACTAGATGATAAGCAGAATGTTTGTTTTAACGGGTTTTTAATGGAAAAGATAACACATTATAAAGAAAAATAAATTCTGGGTAATAAAAATATTTTAAAGGAATATAAATAGCATCAAAGGGATGTCATAAAAAAAAGATCAAACCCAGAACTAAAACTACTGAGTTCACAACTAACATTTTTCTGAAAATAGTTACCTTATTGCATATAGATCTAAATTGCACATTGGTAGATGCATGCAATCATATCTTTCCACGATAGCATTTTGCCATTTTGCACTATCAACACCAGATAAGCCTCCCCAGAGAAGGAGTGGTTTGTAGAATTAAGGATGTAGTCCTCTGCAATAAAATGCTGAAGGAAATTTTGGGTCACTAGTATTTTTATATAATTGAGGTTGTTTCTTGGCTGTGATGGTTCTTTTGCTCATTCTTACAGCACAAGTGCAATTCTACACATAAATGGACACAAGTATTTGGATTCAATATGAAGTATACAGTAAGGTTTGTATCAGCATTTTGGGGCTTCTCACCAAATCTTAGCCTTTTTGCACACATTACATAGATTAAGATACTTAAGATTAGTTTGCAACTTAATTCAAGTTGTAAGCCTATCCTTTAAAAAAAGTAAAATTAAAATTTAAAATCTGATTGTAAAATTTTAATTTGATCCCATTTATTAGGATTCAGACTTTGCTTACAAGATCACATCATTTCCCCCTTCCCCATACCTATTACCTTTATAAGAATCCTGCTTTCTTTTTGCAGGGGATGGAGGAAGGAAGTGAATTAGAGTGTCACAAGTGAAGCACCTCATATGCAGAGCCCCCTGCATAATTTGTCATCAAGAAGAAGAAGCACTGGGAAAGGAGCCAGAAATGTTGAGATTAATAAAATAGGGTCCTTTGACTAAGAGAGTTACACATTTCCCCAGAGAATAGGTTTCCATCCCTGCCACTGCCAAAAGGTTGCTGAGTAACGTTTATGCACAAGCACTAAGGCTCAGATGAGACTTAGACATTCCTGCTGACACTAAAAAGGCTATAAATTAGGCATTTGGCTCAGGAAAGAAAATGTAAGTTAGATCCCCATCTTTACTCCAACATCGGTAAAATGGGGAGCCTGAGGCAGCTGGGAGCAGGTGTCACAATACCAGACATGCAAAATGACACATCTCCCTTGTGACTTAAATCTGACTTTTATTTGTTCTGTCCTCTTTTTCTCCAACTTCTTCCCATTGAAATCACAAGATTTCATTCCCTTTCCTGAAAGCAAATTCTTCCTTGTGATTTCAGTGAGAATCAATTGGCAAGCTCCTGTCCATTTCCTGGCACTTCATGTCATCCTGTTCATTCTTACTGTTTTCCCTTCCCTTCCTTTCCTTTCTTTTTTTATCATTTCATGCCTTCAATTTCTTCTCCTGTCTCTTTGTTTGCCTTCCTTCCCTGACTGACCTTACTCCCAGGTGTGTTTGCCCAGTCAGTTCTAGGTTCCAGGACCAACATCATTCCATTCTTACATTTCATCCAGTAATTCATAGGTCCAGACTTCTTGGCCAGCTACTACCCAGGCATCAATTTGCTGCTAAAAATTTTCTGGCCTCTGCTTGCTTCAGCTTCTGCAACATGCATTTCTTTCTCTATGTTGTCTGTACCTAACTTAGAAGAGACATGAGGAGGAAAAAAGGATATCCTCTGAGTTCTCATGGACAAATATTTCCATATAAGTATTTGGAAATACTGGGAACGTTTTTGGTAGTATTTTAGACTGTTTTATTTTCAGCAGTCTGAAATTCCCATCTCCATGGCTTTAAATATTTTTTCAATTTCTTCAGGAATATGTTGGATTTGGGGGATTTGGGAGGAGAAGGATGTGTTTGTGTCTTCCCAGAACAAGGAATTTGTTCACTGTGAGCATACAAGTGAATGGGAACCAGAAAGAAATAGAAAACAAAGACTACAACTCATGCTGCATTTTTCCTAAAATAACCATATCATGGTGAAAAAATTCCATGTGTTCTCACCCACTAAATGTGTGTTTCTTTGCCAATGATTTTCATTCGTGGTTATTGTCAAGCAACCATAGAGTCAATGTCTACATGAGGCACATAGCGACAGAGTTCAGCAAAATGCGTACCTGAGAAAATTTATGTAGTTAGACATCAGTAAATCCAAAGCATCACTGCAGCTACAGTGACTGATGTTGTCTACTTCACTAACATGAGTACAGAACAAGATAATGCATGTAGAACAAGATATGTGATTATCATGGACGGTAATTTCCAAAATGATCATGTCAGATGTTGTGTTGTCATGATTTCGCAGCTCAGTGCTCATGGCAAAGAAATCACCCTTCCACAAAGTGGCTGAGCTCAGGAGAGAGTTGGAAAGGACAGTATATTCCTGTCAGAGTAGCAAACCACACTGCAGTAATTATAAGGAACAAAACAGGCAATCCCCTGCTGTCTCACTTGTCTCAGTTGCTTCTAAGTTAGGTTGAGGGAAAAAAAGCTACAAGACGGGACCTGCCCAGTATTGAACATTACTTCTAGGAGCATGTTTTCCTTGTTCTTTCATCCTTAGTTGACCTGAAAACATATTGCAATAAAGTTTTGCTTCTGGGTGTTCAGCTCAAAGTGAGCTTCTAGCATTACTTTATACATTGCAAATTAGATTACAGGAAATGTAAATTATTTCTGCAGCCTAATCTTTTAAGTGTTCTCAAAAAATAAATAGTTCAATGTATATTAGTTCAACATCTGGTATGTTTGATCTTTCTGAGAAACCATTGTGTAAAGCAATATGCTACAGAACCTTGCTATTTCTTATCTTTCACTATCTGCTGCAGGGAACTATTGGAAACACCATTGCAAAAGGGATCAAATGATATTTCATATGTATGGAATTGGATAATTAAGTTAATGTAATTCTATTCTTCATGTGTGAAAACTGGATTGCCCTGAAATTCATAGACTGAAATAGAATGGTGAAGAAATCTCAGTTAACTGAGATGTAGTAAATTTACAGTACAAAGCTGGCATGAAAACCATTTTGTCTTCAATGGCACCATATGATACCTTTCTAAAAACCAATTGCAGTATCCATTTAAGGATTCATTTACAGAGTACATTCATTAAATGAACCACGTTTCCTACTGTACCATGAAGTAATTAGTTCTGGAAAACTCAATTGTGCCAGCCCTGAATTACATTTATAAATTGCACTCAAAATGCAGGTACCCATCTAAACAAAAGAAAATTAATTGTTCAGTTGTCTAAATAATTCAGGAAAGAGATTTCTAATACATGTTCAGACTGATGGACTTTTCAAGGGAGACATTATGCAATGGCACTGTGCCAAATAAATTTTAGATGTATAATATGAAAATTATTATTTTTATGCAATATATTTCAAAGAAAAAAGTTTAACCTGGGTCCCTGAAAAAGTATGGTTTTTTCTTTTATAGCCATTTACCTGCTCCAGAAAAGCAGACAGATTTCAAGCTGTACACAAGAACACAAATTATTAACCTTATATTTGTGATTACTCTAAGTTCTGATATTTTTACTACTGGGCTTAGAAAGCACAGTCATATATCTCTTCTATTCTGTGTCTGGTTATACATGAGAACAGTGCAAAATCCATCAACTTTTTAGATCGTCTGAGGGCTGTGGTAGCAAGAATGACATCAATTAACATTCCAGGGAGATTATCAGTTTTGAAATCTAAACAGTAATAATAAATACATAAACATATATATCTATACACATAAAATCTTGAGGTACAGCTTGATCTTAAGGTGTGAAATTAGATTTGCAGACAGATGTGCAAACTCCATAGCACTGTCTGTTCTCTGCTTAAGCAATGCAAAGTCTTACACAAAATTTTGTTCCTAATCACTGTTCATGTGCCTCATGTTGCACTCTATCTCTGAAAAAGAAAAGAGAAATAAATTAAAAAGTGTGCACATCCACTCAAGGAACAGGCACTCTGTGTGTTCCTTAGTCATACTGGTAATTTCAATAAGCTGCATCTGGAAAAAGACATCAACCATTCTTTAAGCAGTCTTTTAAGTCTGCAAGTCATATGGTTTTAGCATAATTTTAGAGGCATTTAAAAAAAGATAAAAATAACAACTCAGCTATTTCTGCTAATATTATTAGAAAAAAATACTTTTGTGTTGTCATCCTAGTAAGGAATCTCTGTTATAGTGCTTGAACTTTATTTTACCATGTGGCACATCAGTGCCTGTAGAATGATGGCCAAAGAGTCCAGCAGCATTCATTTATTTAGTGGGCTGTCCCCATCCAGCGCTTAATCTCTCAGTGGATGCTTCTTGAACAATGGCTCCTGATGATATTAAAACTTTTGATTGGAAAGTGGCAATTCTACCTGACACAAAAAAAAATCCTCCCTCCTGACAGAATCAGTGAGATCTGTGTTTAGTGACAGCTTGTCTTATCTGGCAGTTTCTCCTTGAATATCTTGCTGGCCCCTCCTAGAAAACATAGAAATATTTTGGCAGAGGCATGGGACTGAAGAGAGGGTTCTTTGTTCTCTGAGATTTTGTATGGCTTGACAAGAAAGATTTAAAGATGTCTGTAGGTCACTGAAGGTTAGTATTTCCTGACATTATTACTTTGACAAATGAAGAGAAAACAAACACCCTAACCATAGGAACAGAATGTCAGGATCATTGCAATTCCAGAAGCAGGCAACACTAACAAACAACTGAAGGTAAGCTTTCTGTGGCATCCAAAGCAACATCCGACTGAGGATCTGGATGAAACTTGCTCCGGAGATTTATGTAGGACAAAGAATTTTTCTCTTCTTTCTTTGGGCACCTGATGCGAAACCCAGATGGCTGACTCCTGGTATTGCATGCAGCGGCTGACCACTAATTCTTTGTGCAAATATTTTCCCTCAGCCAAAAGTAAGCCCGCTTTGACCCATTACAGAAGGCAGTTTGAGAAAGTAAGCAGTCATGTTACTGGTTCATTCATTCACTTATCCATCTGAGTAAACTGAGAAAACAAACTCATCAAATGTTCCTCTATCTAATCAATGCAAGCTAATAAAATGGTTTTAAATAAGATAAAATCTATGTCCATATTAAATACAACACTTTTAAAGACTATTTTTTCCTGTTTCTTTGGTTTTGTTGGTGCTGGTTTGCAATGGGATTCTTTTCCCCCAAAAAAGGGGGCTGCACAGACTCTATGAAATTATTAGATGGAGTTATTATTCTTATCTGAAACCCATAAAAACAACTCTCCTTTAAGGAGATAATAGCTGCTTCAGTTTTCATTTTAGCTTTGCATAATTTATTGTAAAATAATTGTAAGAAGGTGCAATTTTTTTAACTTGCCACTTGTCATAATGAGGACAAGGATTGGGTACAGGTCCTGTTCCTATTTTAGGACTATTTAGCCCATACATGATGGCCACTGTCTAATCCTACCTCCCACTGATTCAAGGTTAAAAGACAGAAAATGCTAAAACTTCCACTATGCAGAGCCAGAATGTGTAGGGAAGAGATACTTAAACACTTAGTAGGAAGAGAAGGTCTCCCATGGCTTCAGGTAAAAGTTGTCTGCTTCATCATCCTCCTTATTTTGCTTGACCCTGCTCTTCATGAACAGAGTTTGTTTTGCCTCTTCTTTTGTTGCAGTTCAAAAATCTTCCTTTAATGTCTCTTGTTCTCTTTTCCTGCAACTGTTATCTGCTCTCTGACATGAATATTTATCTCACATAATTATGGGTATGTGAATAGAGTTAGATTTGAAGTAACTACCCAGAGCCCAGCTCCAGCAGGTCATTGTAAGCGTCACTTTAGCAGTCATTGTATGAAGTTAGGGAAGAATTAAGAGCAGTGAGAGCTGGTCACAAAACAGGGTTTCAGTGTGGACATCTGATCACATAATAATAACTTCAACTGCCCTAGTGGAAGCTGTCCCTACCCCTGGCAGAGGAGTTGGATCCAGATGATCTTTAAGGTTCCTGCCAGCCCTGACTATTCCATCATTCTATGATATGCTGCCAATTCTACAAGGGTGCACACTCTTTTTGACTTCACTGATGAGTTTAAATCCAGAAGATGGACCTCAAGTTTTCACATTAATTGCAGTGGGACAGAGTAAAGGAGAGGAGTCAAAGCATCAGCCCATAAGAAGTGCTCTGTAGGACAAAGCACAGAAGTCTGCCCCCAGCTGTGGGTTAGGAGTGAGTATGTATAGAAGGTATGTCACCATATGTGACCGTGCCATTTTGTGGGGTGCATTTCCCTTGCAATCTCCCAACAGCCGGAGCAGATAAAGCAGGGATCAACCCTGTGGCACTCCTCCCCATATTCCACATATGCACTGGCCATTTACAGAAGCAGCTAATGCTCTCCATATCCACACAACAGTCTGTGGTGTCAGTGACCAGTAGTTTAGTACCTACAGTGTAAAGAAGTATTTTTATTCTTTTTTTTTTTTTTTTTACTGGAAACCAGTCTCCTACAGTTCCTTTGAGAGGCCTCTGCTTTGTACATATCAGTGACCATGTCTGTCATGTCTTTATTATTTTCATAATTCTTTTGAAACTTTTCCAGATGATTCTCTCATCTGTCTCCTCTCCAAACTGAGCAGTCACAGGTTTTCTACTCATTTGATCTGTTATTAAACACTGGGCAATGAGAAAACCTTGTGGCAAACTTGGGTGGCAAAGATATCAGAGTGCCTGAGAGGTCCTGGGAAAAGAAAGGGTTTGGAAAAATCCTAGCTAATTTCCCTGAACTGGGCTTCTTTTCCAAGCTTGGTGGATGAGGAAAGCTTAGTCACTAATTGTCCAAAAACCAGGTCTTCTTTCTTTATTGGACGCTTACAGAATTATCTGATTCTTTAGACTTTTCATTGCTCTTTTTACCATATTCAGTTAAAGCAAGTCATGTCAGTGTCTGGAGCACCTCAGTACACCTTACCTGCACTGACTGCACCTCTGGGGCTACCCCCACCCAGTTATCAATGCTATGGTGACACTAAGATTCTAGTTTTTATGTCTGCAATTAAAGCCATTATTATAGGTTGTTACTGGGCCATTGTAATCAAAGGAAATATGAAGACTTCAAAGTGAGTCCCAAATGAATGGATTCATTAATTTGAAAAAAAATCCAAATCAAAAATCTCACGTTTGTGTTCAAAATATTTCCTGAGAAATATGGTTAATGGAAGCACTTGAAAGTTTTAACAAAAACATAATTTAAAGAATGAATCCTGATTATTAGAACTGCTGGCTACAGTCAGCAAACTACCTGGGCTGATGAGGCAAAACAGAAAGCTAGAGAAATCTGGATTTAGAGTTTTTAATATTGCTGTGAAGAGTGGGGATTTTACAAATAAATATACTTTGAAATGTTGTTTAAAAAGACTAGTAAGATTAACAAAGTCATGGGAATATTAGGTCACAGCTAAGTAGATGAAAAAATATCCATTAGAACATGTTCTGAGAACTGTAGCATATGGTTAGTTCAGGAAAGCACTGCTGTATCAGTTCCATACTTTTTACAAATATAAGGGTTTAAAACCACAGGGGGAGTTTTTTATGGTTTTTGGTTGGTCAGTTGGTTATTTTGTGTGGTTGATTGCTTTGGTTTGGGGTTTGTTTTTCAGAAGGCTTCATTTCTAAAATATTCACCTAATGTTAGATAAAGCTGAAAGTCATCTATGAAAAAAAAATCTGGTCACAACAATTCAAAAGAAATTTCTTAAAGACATGGCTGGCAGTCACTCTCGTGGTTCTCTGCATTCTGTCCCACCAGCTCTGCTATGGGCTGGGCTGTCTCCAGCACTAATGAGAGCATTTTATGCTAACACTGAATGGTCACACTGCCAGAATATCCCACAGTAATGTGAGCTGGATCAATTTGTTCGCTTATTGCAGGAAATCAGTGTAATAACTAGATCCAAGAAGGAAAAATTCCATTATTTTCAATGTAAAACATTCATTTATTCAGTACCAGACATTTCATAATTATAATTTCTTCCATTCAAAAGACTACAAATCTACTAGTTAAAATGAAAAGGCAAAAATAGCACAAATTTCAGCAGGATTAAATCTAAATATTTTATAACAACAACTTAAGACACAAAAAGCTCAAATTCATTCATTCACTCTTATTTGGCAGGTAATAAAATACAGAAGGCTCAGAACCGTCCGGTACCGAAGTCCAACATTTCACACAGTACTGTGTAGCAAGGAGACTGTCAGGAGGGTGGTTTAGTCTTTGGTATGCTGTGGTTTTGACAGAGGATGGGATTTTCTTCTGTGACTGTGATTTGGTGCATCTTTGGCTAACTTTGTTTTCCTTACCAAACAATTGT